TTGCAGTGAGGGGCCCAACACTGAACACAGAATTCGAGGTGCGGCCTCACCAGTGCCCAGTACAGGGGGACAATCCCTGCCCTAGTCCTGCTGGCCACACTGTTCCTGATGCAGGCCAGGGTGCCACTGGCCTTCTTGACCCTCTGGCCAGACTGCTGGCTCATGCTCGTCCAGCTATCGACCAACACACCCAGGCCCTTTTCTGCCAGGCAGCTTTCCAGCCACTCATCCCCAAGCCTGTAGCATTGTCCGGGATTGTTGTGGCCCCAGTGCAGGACCCAGCACTCGGCCTTGTTGAACCTCATATGGCTGGCTTCAACCCATCAATCCTGCCTGTCCAGGTCCCTCAGAAAAGCTTTCTTTCCCTCAGGCAGATCAACACTTCTGACCAACTTGTTGTCATCTGCAAACTTACTGAGGGTGCACTTGATCCCCTCGTCCAGGTCATCGATAAAGTTGTTAATGGGAACTGACCCCAATATGAGCCCTGGGCAACACCACTCGTGACCGGCCACCAACTGATTTAACTCCATTCAGCATGACTCTCTGCGCCTGGGCATCCAGCCAGTTTTTACCCAGCAAAGAGTACATCATTCCAAGCCATGAGCAGTTTCTCCAGGAGAATGCTGTCAGAAACTGTGTCAAAGGCTTTACTACAGACCACATCTACAGCCTTTCCATCATCCACTAAGCAGGTCACCTTGTCACAGAAGATCAGGTCTGTCAGGCAGGACCTGCCGTTCATAAACCCAGGCTGACTGGGCCTGATCTCCTGGTTGTCCTGTATGTGCTGCATGATGGCACCCAGGATGATCTGCTCCACAACCTTCCCGGGCACTGAGGTCAGATTGACAGTCCCATAGTTTCCAAATCCTCCTTGCAGCCCTTCTCATAGATGGGCATCACATTTGCTAACCTCCAGTCAACTGGGACCTTCCCGGTTAGCCAGGACTGCTGACAGATGATGGGAAGCAGGTTTTCCAGCCCTTGTAGACAGGCATCACATTCTCTAGCTTCCAGTAAACCGAGACCTCCCCGGTTAGCCAAGATTGCTGATAGATGGTGGGAAGTGGCTTGGTGAGCACTTCCACCAGCTCCCTTAGTCAGATGTAGAATGAAATACATTAAGGAAGTAAACATCCATTTTTAACTCTGACTTTGTTGAAACTCTAAAAAATGTTCACGATGAATGTGAAGATGAAGTCTTCAAGTTAGAAATTACATGAGATTAAAAAGTTTGTTGTCAAGGCTATGCATGTTTGTTTCATTCCTGGAGGTATCCTTGATCAGCATGATTTTCTTTTCATCTCTTTTCAGAAATAGCTAGAGATAGTTTAGCATTTCGAAGACATCAATTTGTGGTACTCTTTCACCTGGTTTTAAGCTGGTTTTAGATAAAAATATATGATTCTCTTTGGAGGACAATAAAAAATATGTAAAAACTCCAAAATTTCCTGAGACTGCAATATTTCTCTGCATGTGTAGGATATGATGCTGCCATACACAGTGTATTATTGTAAGCAACTTTTTTTTCCTCACCTAGTTCGCTTTTTTCCAACTCCTGATTAATCTTGTTTAGGTCTCAACTCTGCAATTTGCTCCATGAGGGTGAATCTGAGGACATTACCCAAGTATTTTGGCATGAGAGACATAATACTGGCAAAAATGATAGGAGAATTACATCTACTTTATGCTGTAATTACATTTGTTTCCTTTATGGAACAGTTTCTGAAAAACTTAACCAAGCTGAAATCAGTGGGTTTCTGCAGACATTATTCTAAATATAAGAGAATATAATAGAAAATTCTGTTAATTTTAAAGGCTTCTTTGACTGTACTTAGGGATTTGAGAGCAGGGATGTTATTTCCTAGCATTCTGTACCATGTTTTAAAAGAAAAAAAAAGGAGAAAAAGCCCTGTGATCATTTCAAGTTTATTTCTATAGGACTTTTTCTATATTGGTTAATTATTCATGGTGAAATCCTCTGAGTAAATGGATTTCACAGAGGGATGATGGGGATGATCCATAAAGTGCAAGAGAAAGGGAGCTATATATGCTGTGCGGGGAGTATTTTAACATTTCATTTCTATGCATGGCTTAAAATACAAATAGCAAAGCCTGATAAGTATAAAACAAATTAAAATGACAATATATACTGTTGTTGCAAAGACAGTGTAGTAGTGTAGCATCTCATTTGCTATTTACATTGCAAAATTTATGTTTGTAAAAGTTCATAAACGGGATGCAATTCTTAAGAGACCTCATATCCCTAGCTGAGAGCCAGGTGTCCTTTGTTAGGCCGTGTATTTTAGATTTTGTTACTCTGCCTTCTTCAGTAACTCAAAATTAAGATTCTTGCATAATTCTTAAACCTGGAATTTCAATAAGGCTTTTCATTCCCAGCATTAATAAATACTGATCCAGCCACCCAGTTCCTAATGCCTGTGTAAGGAAAGGAGTAATGTTATGTCAGTGTTATTCACTGTAAAACTTGGGCTGAGGAATTAAAGCAGTTACTGGGCAGCCTGAGATTAACAATCAAAATTTTCCCAGTTCCTCTTCCTGGAAGACAAATCTTTCATGCAAACATTCCCCGGAATTTTGCTGCTGCTACCACGGTGTTTCATAAGGGAGACTGGGGAGAAGGGGGAGGAAAGGTGAACCTACTCTAAAGCAGAAAGCGTGGCACGTGGGGCATCCAAACAGGGAGAGAAACTTTTTAATACTGGAATGAATTTGCTCTCTGTGTGTTAAGTGTGAACGGTGCCTGCATTGCACGGGTTTGTTGTCCACTCTCCGGAGCAGATGGAGCTTGCAGTTGTATGTCACTTGTTTATTACATCCTCTTAAGATTAGTAGCTGTGTGGCCAGATGGGGCTGGGAGCACAGCTGTGGATACAAGGAAATAAATGAAACCTGTCTGATACTGCCATGCCCTTTTGTGAGATACTGACGTGTTGCAACTGCAACAAAGCAAAAATCACTTGCCTTTAATATATTAGTGAATTAGATGTACTTTCTTTTTTTTTTTTAATCAATTCTCATGAAATCAGGAGGACGAGGTTCAGAGAATGATATAATTGTAAGAGGAAAATGTAGCTGAAATCAGTAGCAAACAGCCTCAGCAAATTTACAGGAGCAATTTTAATGTGGTAAAATAAATTTAAAGTACGTCTCAATTAATCATCCATATAAAATATAAAGCAGAAGTTTCTATAGAACAAAGACTCCTATAGAGCCTACACCAGCTAGGCAGTAGTATTTCAAAGTTTATTGGATGGCATATGTTGAATTATTGATCCAACATTCTGATAAACTATATAATGCATTCATGTAAATGCAAATGAAAATGCTGTTCTATAGAAGAATGCCAGATTATGGGCTAGACTTTTAAAAATGAAGCTAACACAGTGTTAACTCCTTCATGGCAGCGGGCACACAAAGTTGGTCACAAAGCTACCACTAATCTGGAGTTACTGGGTAGAATTTGCCCTACGGTGCAGGTTTCCACGCCAGATGTATCATCTCCACTCCCCTTCTAGTCTAAGTGGAGAAATAGGCATTTTTAGGAAGAATTCATCTGACTTCTTGTAAAGGGCACAATGAATTTCACACCAAAGAGGATCAGACTCTCTCCTTGGATGGCAGAGGGTGTCTGATGGTCTGGGTGAGGCATAAGCATCTCCTTTCAGTCCCACTGGCAGAGCAGATTTGATGCGGCATTTACTGTATTAATACAGATTAGTTGTTAGAAAGTCACTGAACTGTTCTTCTTCTCTTAATTATAGAGATGGATTGTTCTGATGTAGATGGTTTGTAGGTTAACGTGAAGTTGAGATTTGGAGAGGAGGTTGTTGCTTCTTTCTGTAGAGGGAGTTTTGGGGGGTACAAACTAACTTCTTCTGTGAGAACCACAGTGCGTGATTCTAAAAATACATTGTGATGGTAAGGAATGAAGCCGTGCGTGATGTTAGCTGTGGAAGTGGCACTTTCTGTGAGCTGAAGGAACATAAGGATTTTTCTCAAATTTATATTTCTTCTCTCATTGTCTAGCAAAATGAGAGTCAACACTATTGGAAGTGTGCTGTGCTTTCCAGGAAAATAAAAATTTAAAAATGTGTAATACTGTGACTTTGAAAGAAGTAGTGTTATAAAGAGGATGATCATACTATGATTTATTGTATCTGAGATCTAAAGTTGGAGCTTAACAGAGTCCAGCCTTAAGATAGAATATGATGATAGGCAGTCACATAATGAGTATGACGTGTAGTACAAAAACATTTTTCTGCTTCTGAAAGCTGCTATAAATCATGTATACTTTGGAAGACTCTTCTATGTTAATTAAGGAAGATGCAGCAAGTTGCAGTATTTTATGGGAAGAGAGGCAAGCGCAAGTGCAAATTGTTGTGCTTTTTGCCTTATTGCAGAGATAAAAGAAGAAAAGTTTCATCCAATTCTGAAGGATTTCGTAGCTCAATATTGTAATGCATGCCAGGAGGTTGGGAGGTAGAGGTAGCAATTTTCATTGACTTCCACCATACTGTGTTTGCTTCATTAAAAAATTACAAATTTGTTGGCAAAAAGCAGTAACATATTGCTAGAAAACATCAAAATTCACAGTGTAAATTCATAACTTAAATTTGTGTTCAAAACTGTGGTTTGTGAATTCTGTCTTTTCTTTTAAAAATGAAGGAATAGCATAATAAAAGGACAAAAAGCTTCTATTTCTTGGTCGGACCAAAGATCTTTGAGCCAAATATCCTATTTCTGGCAGTATGTCAGACTCACCAAAATCTTTATTATGTGAATGGGTTGTATAACATTCTGAAATGGTAATCACAAAGAAGAGATCATTTAAGTTTCAGTGTCTTATGCAGCTATATATGTCTGTTATTTTGATGTGCATTATAGAAGGGAAATAGTATTTACTCCTGATTTATCTGAAAATGTGGTACTATTTCTAATAGGTTTTGTTTATTCTTTTTCTCTTATTTCTACAGGAAGTTGCCCTTGTCCTTGCAGCTATACTGGTATTTTTGTTGGCTTTCTATGCTTTCTTTTATCTTAACATTTCCAATGAAGTTGACCTTGATCTGGATCCAGATGAAAACTAGCAGATGCAATGAATCTATCATCAAGATTTCTTCAGCTTCACAAGACTACGTAGGAACACACAGTCCCTTCACTGTGAGACAGTAAATTATACCATTTCTTGCAGTCCAAATTCATAAGAAAGTTTTGCAGTACGCCAGTCACTTTTACATTCCAGATCTCCAAAAGAAGAGAACGCTCATGCCCGGCAAGTGTATTTGGTTAACACTGAAGCCAGGAGCAGCAGTACAATACATGAAGTTTGTTGTTTACATTTTTTTTTTCCTCAGGCAGAGAACTTTGATGTCAAAAGACAGGTGCTATTATTATCATGGGTATTGATGCTGACTTCACAGGAGGAGAGTCTGCCTTGACTAAATTTAGGAATCAAAGCTTCTTAATAGCCAAATTAGCTTCCTTTTCCTTTCCCAAAAGAAAGCAGATATAACAAATAAAAAGTCTTTACTTGATTTGTATTTAAAATATATCAAAACCCCTTCATCCTTTCTCTCCCTTTTAATCTTCCCTGTGCATGTGTGCACACGCGCACGCACAGAGATGGAAGAAACTGTAGGAAAAAAATATCTTTTTAGAAGCAGTCTGTCACCTCCTATATGGACTTAATTTTATGTCATCCCAGATTCTGTGTGCCCATATATCTGCAGTAATCTTTTTCATTCTTTTGCCAACTGTTCAGCACACATGTGTTCTGTCAGAAATGGCACCTGGATGACAGAAGCTCTAGCATTCGCATATGCCTCTGAAACACAGTTCTTTGCCTCCTGTGCTGTCTGAACTGGTGTAAATAGAAAGTTCAGTCAATGTTGGTTTTAATTAGTGTATTGCTCTATTATTAATATGAAGTCAAAATTGTATTTTAATTATACTCTTGCTGCTGGTTGTGGTATCAGCTTGCTCTACCTGTTAGGGGATGTTGTAAAAAAATTGCTTTCCAGTTATACAATCATTTTAATCATCAAACTAATGTGCGATGTTGTAAGTATTGAGAAACCTTTTTTTACAAGCGTACTAAGAATTGGGAAAATCTTGGCTCCATGACATCCTTCAGTTCTTGCAAAGTAGCTTTCAGAATATGCACTGTAGATAACGTTTCTGATCCCTTTGATAACCACCAGCCGCTTGAAGAAGTCGGTATGTCAAAGCAGCTGCAGGGAGCTGTAAAATTCTGGCTTTATCCTGTTCTGTTCCAGCTTTGACACATTGCTGGGCTTGGGGTTGTAAAGGCTCATTTTTGATCCTTTTAAAAATGTGGTCAGTCTTTTTCTAGTTTGGATTTACTTTGATACCAGGAAAAACATAGAGCCGTTGGTGTTGAATGTGGCAAGGAAGCTAGGCATATTGACTTCCAGAAAAGTTGCCGTCATTCTGAAACTCCGTTAGCAAACTAGCTTGGCTTTATCTTTGATACCAATCTCAGGGCTAAACACTGGGTTTAGTTGCAACTGAGATATTTACTGACTTGTTCTGGAAATGCCTGACTAAGATTTCTTAGAGTGATTTTGAAGACAAAGGGATACAAATCATGGCAGATATAATGGAAAATATATTTATTTTAAATTGACACAGTCCCATTATCACCACTTACGGAACTTTGATCAATACAGTTAATTTCTAAACCATACAATAACTATGACCATATACATTATGAGTCTCTAAGGATCCACTTCTTATCTGCCATAATCCTTGTTCACTTTATGCAATGCAAAACAACTCTAGGAATTCAGAGTGCAACAGTCTTCCGAGAAGAATACGAAAGAGAAGCATAAACATATGTGCAAATATTCCTCATTTTTCTAATTATGACTGTTACAGACACAAAATCCTAACATTTGTGCATTCATATGACTTATAGTCCGCTAATACTCGCACACGCGACCAAACGCTTGGCAACATGTTGCATTTATGGTGAAGCATTATCTGACACGTGGCCTGACGTTCGTCGGAGAGAAAAGCATATCACAAGCTGTCTCCTTGGACGTGACATGCCTCTCACTTCACTGGTGCCACTCTCATGTCACAGAAGCTGCAAACCTCTGCTGTTACCTTGCATGAGCAACTTTCTTCTTCCACAAAATGCTGGAAGGGTTGCTTGCTTAATGTCTGCGTGGAGATCTCTGGGTGATGTGTGGCCTGAGAAAGACGTGTAGTTATCCCCTTCATGCAGGTTGTCTCATTACCTGCTTTCTGAATCAGTTACATTAAAAAGCAAGCTATTCTTACTGTCGAATTTAGGAGCATGAAGTTCCTAGAACAGGAGGATTGCATTTCCCATAATTATGACTCATAGACAAAATCCGAAGCGCGTATATGTCTGATGGAAGCAGCTTCACTGATTTGTTGCTTATGAGTCTGTATTACCCTCAAGGGCCATAGTTTGCAGTTTGTCTGTTGGCTTTATTTGCATAAGGCCTTTTCACTTATGTGAAAGATAGTCTCATGTAACAAGAAAATTTCCTTTTGCTTAGGTAAACTGGAGAGACTTCTGTTCAGTGTACATAGAAATACATGGTAAATATTGCAGCAAATACACTTTTATCAGTACAATAATTTCTAATGGAATTATGTCAACAGTTTTTTAAAGCTAAACGCCCCCACATTTCATCAAATTATTCATCCTTGGTTTTCTAAAAGGCACAAGCACAACAATATTAGCAATGAGGTCTGAGTTTATTAATTTATGATTCCCCTGAGTTCACTGAAATTACAGCTGGTTTACTCCAAGGGGAAATGAGAATCCAACCTGAAGTTATTTTTGCTTTCTGGAGCACTACACTGACCAATGCCTGATATTTTAAAGTAGATATGGGTTTTAATCTTGCAAGCATGTGTCTTATTTTTCCCTTAATTATAACTGGGATTGAAATATGACTTTTGGTTTTTGAACCACCTATCTTTGTATGAGTTGCTCAGTGTCTATTTTATTAATAAATGTATTTTTACTATTTTGGTGGTCTTATTAATGTTGGACACACTAAATTGTATATACATTTGAAAGGACATTAAAGCAGTCTGAACAGCACAATGTTCAAATGTGAGCAGTGATACTCACCAGTTTTACAGAGTTTGGATTATTCTAAGCAGTTCTAGCCCCTAAGCCCATATTAAAACTAAGTGTAGCCTATGATTACTTAAAAGACAATAAAGAGAACTTCCCTTGGCATCCTATCCAGTACCAATGGAATAGATCTCTTTCTGCAGACAAAATTGTTCTGTGTAGCTCCATCAACTTCAGATTGATTGACTTTATTAGAAAAATAATACTTTTATAAGCTTGTTTCAAAGAAAGGTTGCTGATCAAACCATTTACACAGCAAACCTGTCTTAAGTGAGCAGGTTTTTTCAAGAATATTCACCTCTGAGGGATGGGTAGACATCGCTACTGTTGTTGCCTCCTGCTTGTGGAGTAAACTGAATTTCTTTCCAGCAGAGGTAGTGGAGCGATGCCTATAGCGGGTCCTTGTGCTGTGGGTGGGAGCAGATGTCCCGTCTGGAAGGTACGACAGTCTTCCAGCAGTGATTTTGCTCAGTAAAACTTTCCTCAGCAGTTTTCCTTTTCTCTTTGATCCTACAAAAGCAGAAGCAGCTTGTAGACCATCTCAGGACAGAAGCCTCAGTACAGTAGTTTTACTAGTGCTGCTGGTGAACACTGCCAAGGAAGGGCTTTAACTCTACGTCCTAGAGTCCATTAATATGTTTTACTGGAAGCTTAGGAGGCATGTTAAGCATTTCCCTAATAGACCCTGGAGATATATTTAAACTTTTCTTGAAGAACGCTTTATTTAAAGTTCACTGTTGCATATCATATAGACATCACGTGATTCAGGATCTGTCACAGATCCTTCCGTTCATCAGACCGGCTGTAGCAGGGACAAAATGTAGACGGCGAGATTACGCCACTGCGTGTAACTGCGAAAATCCACAATGTGAGCAAACTCATCTGTTCACTTAGGTGTCATCCAGAGCAGTGGAACTAAAAGTTGTGTTTCAAAACAAACAGTTTTTAAATAACCCTACTAAATGAAGGCCCTTTGAAAGCCTTTGCAAAACTGCTCGTCAGATTTCCATGAAAACTGCTACCATGGAAGAAGCTTATCTGCTGACCTAGGGACAAGTTTTCAATGCTGCCCTTTCAGGGAGGAAAATGTTGCTAGCAGCTCCTGGTAGAGTGGTGATTCATTTTGCTCTGATACGGGATTGTGCCTATAAGGCATAACTGAGCTAGTTGGTGAAGGGCAAATGTGTTCAGCACAATTTTCAGTGAAGGACTGTACTTTAAATGCAGACTAGGCAAGTCAGAATGCCAACAAACAGGATACTGCGGACCTTGATCGTGTTTCAAGTTTTACTTACAGTAGCATAATAATTAGTGGTGCTTATGACTAAGAAAATAACAATATGGCACATCAATAAGACAGCAGAAATGTGATGTTGGAACTGCTTCTTAAAAGACTTTGTAGTGGATTATGGCTGCACTTTGTGAAACGAAGCCATGAGATGAATAAACTGGCAAAGATTGTCTGTGATCTTACGCTTACAATATTTTTCCCTGAAAGAGCTGTCAGAGATATTTTGCAACACTTTTCCCCATCATCCTCTTAGTTTGCTGCAATGCATTCTTTTGTAGATGTATTTCTACCATTTTCCAAGAGTGGAGGACTATTTTTTGTTGTTCATCAATGTGTGTAACTGACAGAATCCTCTACTCTTTCTTTTATCCCCCCTTAATCACAACCAAATTGGTGGGGAGACAGCCAAAAAGTTAGGTACCAGTGTCTCTCAAGCAGATGTCACACCACTATTTTTTAGCTCGTTTAAATGAATAAACATGTTAAACTGTGAAGTATTACATTTTAGATTTTTTCATTAAAAAAAAAAATATGGGACAATCTGTTTACTGTCCTTAATTGAGACAACAATCCTGGTGGTTGCCAGTTTTGGCAGTTGTAATGATGAACTATAAATATTGGGACAAATCAGCTAACTGGTGATTGTGCAGGATAGTTGAAGTAGAATTCTCATTCTGCATGAATACTTTTTTCAGTGCTATAGTTTTTTCTAACTTCTATGATTGTTATACTGGTTTGGCATGTTAAAACCACAAATAAATACATGACTAGTTAAACAATAGGCTTGATTCTGTTGTCTTATTCTGAATCACTGAAAAAAACAGATAAAGGCTGACAGCTCTGCAGCTTTGCCCAAATTCTCCCTAAAAGGTGTTTGTTCAGGTCACTTAAATAATAAGCTGCAAAAAGCTTCATTTTACTGAATCTTGGAAAAACTGAGCAGCATACAGAGCTTTGGGAGTTTGCCATTTCACAAGGAGGTTGTAGGAATTTGAAAAAGCGAAGCCACAGGAGGTGAGTGTGGAGTTTGGTGACAAACTGATAGTCATTCTCCTATCGCAGTTCCTGCGGGAATGAGAGAA